TCGGGGGGTGGGCCCATGCTGATCTGGACAGCTCCAAGTGGCGGGCCAGGGACATCCCGTAGGAGACACCCCTGAGGGGCTGGAGACTCGGTCTTCACTTCCAGTGCCTCCTTTCCTACAAAAGCCTACGGAGGCATTCCAGAAAATGCACGTCAGGAGTGTCAAGGAGAGGAGCTGAAGAAGAAAAGCTCTCCTCCCTCGGAGAGCGAGAAAGAAGGAACTCACTGCAGCGCCCGGAGGGGGGGCACGCTGATGCTCACCTGGTTGGGGGACTCTGTGGAGAGCAAGGAAGCCTCAGAGTTGATGGAGGAAGGAGAGACGGGTTCTGTCTTCGTCTGGACCCCTGTGGGTGGCAGGGTGAGACAAACAGCTGGATATCAGCTAAACACTGAAGGAGAAGAAAGTTAAGATGGGGAAATGGGGACAGGGTCATTTCTCCTTGCACCCACAGATAAAGCTACTCTGGCCCCAGGCAGGCAATCCGGAGGCGCAGGTGGCCTGGGGCTGCTGGCTGAGGCGCTCCTCCAGCCTCCACCCAGCACTGCCCCTCTGCGGGGCTCCTTCCTCTTCTCACCACCGGGCTTTCCTCAGGGCCATCCTTGCCCTCCGCTGTCCCTGGCTTCCTCACAGGCCCGGTCCATTCATGCAGAGGCCCAAGCAGCGAGACGCAGCATTCCCACGGGCCCACTCTCCTGTCTGCCTGGATTCTCATCTCTCCCTGGCCTAATGCTAGCACACAGCTCCATGCTGACCACCGCCAAGCCTGAATCTCTGCCCATGACGGCTCCCCGTGCCCTGACCCTGATGCCCAAGCTCCTTGCTCGTCACTTCCATTCTAATGCCCCACCATTTACACAAATTCAACTGGACTTACACAAAGCTCACTGCTTGTCCTTTTGCACAAATTCCCTCCCTAAGTCTGGCAGCCTCCCAGACACATCACCAAGCCACAGTCACCTCTGCGCCTTCGGGGCCTGTTAAATCTGTAAGACCTGCCGATTGCCCCCAGAGGCAGCCCCAAGGTCACCAGTGTGCCACCACCTCTGGTCCATACCACTCATTCTGGTACTTAATTATATGATCACCAATATTTCTAATCTAAATTTTAAAATCAATTTCTATTCTTGAATAGGCAATAGTCATGTGATTAAAAAATCCCAGAGGAACAACGGGGAATTAGGTGACAAGTGACTCTCCTTCCCTTCCTTGTCCACCAGCCACGCAGAACCCACCCTCCCTCAGGGTACTCCCTAGCTGAGCTACTAACCATCTGTTACAACCCTCAGGAGACCCTCCGAAGGCAAGGACCATGCCTTATGCCTCATGTCTATCAAAGTGACGAGTAAAGTACAAGTCAAAAAGCACAAGTTGCCCTAATCGCTTTGGCTCAGTGGGTAGAGCATTGGCCTGCGGACTGAATGGTCCCAGGTTCGATTCTGGTCAAGGGCATGTACTTTGGTTGCAGGCACATCCCCAGTAGGGAGTGTGCAGGAGGCAGCTGATCAATGTTTCTAACTCTCTATCCCTCTCCCTTCTTCTCTGTAAAAAATCAATAAAATATACTTAAAAAAAACACACAAAAACACAACAAGTCGTAGGGGAGGATCTGACTCCAGTAACACTGTTTGTAAAGTCAGCAACAATGTTTTTGCTGTTCGAGGCTTTTCGATCTTTGTCCTCTTTGCAATTTTTAATAATGTGCTGGATACGATATTTGTTCTTCCAAATCCTCACTCCATCCTTCCCTGCCCCATGAATCCCAGGAGGAAACATGAGTGGATTCCATTACCGGCTCCCTTGCCCTCTTGCTTCTGGTTGGGAGGCAGTGCCAGGAAACCCTGAAGGCACTTTGAGATGAACAATCAGCCTGACCAACCCTGGATTCCTCGTGCCCCCTGAGCAGAGGGCTCCTGCTCTCACACCGCTATCCAGGGGACAGCTCCATCACCCGCTGGACAGCTGCCCAGCCAGGCCAGGCTTCCTCTTCGACCCCTGCTCAATGCCCAGGAGGTCACTGCAGCTCATCCATTCTACTTTATTCCTTTTGCTTTCTTCTCGGCATCCAAATACCTTACTTGATTAACTGCGGGAGCCTCTTCCTTGGTTCTCTACCTCCGGCCTCCAGTCCCGCCTCTGCAGTCCATTCTCTACTCTGCCACCAGAGCTGTCTCCTGGTCACACTGCGCTCCTGCCTGATTCTTCAGAGGGTCCCAACTGCCCACAGGACACCAACTAAGAGTCCTTCAGCAGGGTTCCCCCCGGCCCTACAACCTCTACGGCGCCTTGCCGTCCCCATCCCTGCTCATATCCATCTAAAGACACACGTGCCCACTCCCTCGGTCTCCTCTGGCTAATTGCCACGCGTCCTTCCCAGCTCAGCCAGGAAGCCCTCCTCTGCAGCACATCCTGATGCAGCCCCGGGTGAAGGGCCCAGCGCTCCGAGAGCAACACCACAGCGGGCACACCGGTGTGCACTGCTATTCGTCTTCCGCCCCCACCACTCTACAGGAGTCTCCTGTCAGTGTGTTGGTCGTGTCTTTGTCATCTTTGCATCCCCAGCACCCTGTCCAGTACCTGGTATGGAGTAGGTGCTCAATAAATGTTTACTGAATTAACACAGAAGGGTACCTAAACTTGGTAACACTTAAAAACAGCACAAATAATGTTGGTTATAGGATCTAGGAGTTGGGTCTATATTCCAACTTTTCTGTATGTTTAGGATTTTTTATAATAAAACGTTAGAGTGAAAAAAATAATATAAATAATTATGCCATAAACTGTCCAAAGTCTTTAAAACATGCAAAGCAACAGGAAGTTAAATCACACAGCAGGATACTAGGAACAAGAAAAAGAAAGGAAAATGACACCCATCTCGTCAGTGCTGCCCTTGCTATGGTTTCCTAAAATTCTCCCTGCCACTCCCGGCCTTTCTCCTGATTACCTGTCATTTCCGCCCACCTTTTCCTCCTTGTCCAGTCCCCCCACCACACATACCCATCCTCCCTGGTAAAGCCTGTGGGGGGGGGGGGGGACTGTGAGTACCTGAGGGGTCATCAGCGGTGGGGCCCACATTGATCTGGACCGTTTCACTCAGGGATGTTGGATCATCTCCCAGCAGGCAGAGCGGTGGTGCCAAGGACTCTATCTTCACAACCAGCACCTCCCCTACACCAGGGGCCTGGGTGAAAGTAGAGGTGGGGGGCGGGGGGCGCAGAAAGAAGGAAACAAAAAAGGGGATGTGTTGAGAGTAAGAGCAGAACAAGGGCTTTGCAGCTCACAAACCCCTATGCTCTGACATTCGGTTTGAATGGCACAGCAGCTCCCTAAGCTGCCGCTGGCCCGGTTCTCTCCTGCTTGACTCCTGGGAGGGTGACGGCATCTCACGGTTTCAAATACTTAGAGGGGAACCTGGGCAGGAAGTTCCGGAAGTCCCCGCCCCCACATGCTGCCACGCACCTCTATGCATTAAAAAGGTTCCCCTTTCCCTGGCCAGTTTGGCTCAGTGGATAGAGCGTGGGCCTGCGGACTTAAGGGTCCCCGGTTAGATTCCAGGCAAGGGCACGTGCCTGGGTTGCAGGCTCGATCCCCAGTGTGGGGCGTGCAGGAGGCAGCCGATCAGTGATTCTCTCTCATCATTGATGTTTCTACTTCTCTCTCCCTCTCCCTTCCTCTCTGGAATCAATATATATATATATATATATTACAGCAAGTGAGAATGTGAAGAATGACAGGGAGGGAGAGAAGGCCCACCGCACACACGTCCCCCTCAGCACCTAGGGCGCCGGGACGGGGGAGTCCTCGCCGGGCCCAGTGGGGGGTTCTCACCTGGGGGGAGGGCTCCGTGGAAAGGCCGGACGACTCGGAGCTGAGAGAGGAGGAGGAGCAGGGAGAGGACGGCTCAGACTTCACCTGAAGATCTGGAGGAAGAGGGGGTAGGAAATAACCAGGAGGCGGAGCCCGAGAAGAGTCCACAAAGTGTCCACGGACGCGTGGGCGAGGGCCCCCCGCTGGACAAGGGTGTCGGGTGTGAGGACCCGGGGAAGAGGAGGGACGCTGAGGGTGGAGGAGGCACATGGTCTCCTACCTGGAAAGAGAGGCAGGGGGTCCCACGGAGGCTCGGGGGGGCTGACATCCATCCCCACGTCCAGCATGCCGCTGCCGAACTGAAGAGGGGGGGCATGAGGGGGAGGGGCTGTGAGACAGGGGGGGGGCCGAGCCCGG